GATCCAGAAACCAAAAAGAGATATGAAAACATTAGAAAGAATAGAATGCTTGTATATTTTGGGGAGGGGAATTTTGCATCACTTCAAAACAAGAAACTGTTGCTTATTTTAAGACATGACAGTGTTGTTACAAGGAACTTATTTTTAAAGATAGCATTTCAATGTATTTTTGAAACACATATAATTAGAGTATTATTATAGTAAATTTGTACTGTTTTAACAGAATACCTGAGTCTGGGTGATTTATAAGATCTATTTCTTATAGTTCTAGAGACTGGAGAGGTCCAAGATTGAGATTTGGAGAGGGACTCCACGTTTTTTTTTTTTTTTTTTGCATTATCCCATGGTGAAATCAGAAAGGAAGGGAAAGAAGGATGGAGAGAAGAGGAGAGAGAAATTCATTCTTTTATCAGGAATCTACCCCCATGATAATGGTATTAATCCATTCATGGATCACCTCTTAAAGATTCTACCTATCAACACTGTTGCGTTGAGGATTAATTGAATAACCCATAAACTACAGGAGACACAGTCAAGCCACAGAAATAGGTTACACAAAAGAGGTTGAGCACAATAGTCATCTTCTCATGGATGACATTTTTTTTACTCATTTACCATATCTAATCTTACTTTTTAAAATAAGTGAGTATGACATTAAAATATAAAATAGAGAACTTTAAGTTTTAAGCTAAAAATACAGGAACATTTGGATATCTGACTCACATATTTTAATTAGTAACCAAATTTTGAGATTATCTTGAATAAAATGTTTTTTTCTAACTCATTCCATAATCTTTTTATTAGCATTAAAACAGCCTGGGCAATGCATGTACCTTTAATAATTTGATACTGTGGACTTTGTAGAAACCAGCTGCAGACCGGATAAGATTGTTATTTCCTTATCTGCTGGTGGATTCCCTACCTCACTGCCACCGAGTGCGCGATCCTGTTGACAACACGTTACACTAAAACCGCTAAGCCCAGGGCCTGTGGCTCTCCTTGTCCTCTGTGGGCTTTGGTTCCTCTCCTTCCCACTCACAGGACTGGACCTGTCAAATGAATGTCCTTTCCAGCTTATCTGGCTGTGTGTCTATAACTGTGCCTTCCTGAAACTGTCCCCAGTTTCTGTAAGCTGCTTGTTTGCGGGCAGAGGTGACAGATTCACCACAGATGTCACCTCTCTATCGTCACTCTTGTTTCCACGTTCCTTCTGTATGGGTTCTATCAACTATGCAGCGTATCTTTCAGGGAAGGGAGTTCTGGGAAAGAGAGTGTGTCCGTTTATGTGTCCATGAAGTGCCCACACACATCCCTCTGGAACTCAAAGATCTACCTGAAATTTTATGTCCCCCTCTGCTCCTCACGTGACACCAATGCGCCTTGTGTCACCACTGTATGGTGAGTTTAGAACATAGTTGAAAGACGCTTGTCCATCTTCAGAACAAGGTGGGGGACACACACATAATGCAGTAATTCCAATGCAGATGGCAGAAGCAGCGAGGGGTAAGGACCAGGGGATTTTTAGAGCACAGAGAAGTTCTAATGTAGTGTCTGACACTACAAGCTACTTTACTTCTATGATTCATAATTTCTTCATCTATAAAATTAGAATAAAACTGTCTCATCTTGCTGACCTCATAGATCATTGTGGGGGCGAAACAGTAGAAGGGAAGTGGAAGCACTCTGTAACCCTCAAGAGCAGACTGCAACAAGACCTTGATTCCAAGGCACATGAGGTGGCCCTGGGAGGAGCTGTCCTGTCATAGCTGCCCTGTGTAGGGCCCCCTGAGACTACTTTTGGTTTGGGGGTTTACCCAGATATCTAGAGCTCAGAGCTGGGCTTAGCTCAATGTCACAGCTTCTGGGATGCAAAAATGTAGAATAGAAAATAGCACAGAGGAGGCTTGGGTACCCCAGGTCTATGTCTGCACCAGTAGAAACCACCAACCCCACCCCAAAGGATGGGAAAGTTGAGTGTCTTCAGGCAGGGTTGACGCTAGCCTCCCTCCCTGCTGGTGTTCTGTTCCTGTATCTCAGAGCATGCTTATTCTCTGGGCCTAAACTCCATCCCTCCTGCTTTAACATATGATCATTTCATACTTGATCAGAGGACACAATAATTACAAGCTTTTTCTGAAATCTCTTCATTCAACTCCTTTAATGGGGCACAAGTCAGGAGTGATGAAAGAAAGGTCCAAAGTGCTCATTGTCACCCATGGAGCAAGGACAGTCCATATTCTTCACTACTCTGCATAATCCTCCTCTTTGTCCCTATCCTCAGTTCCAGTCCCTGACTGAATGGCTAATGGCTTTCTCCCACTGCAAAAAAAAAAAAAGCCATCTGGTCACTTCATGCGGGCCACCACACTTCTAACGCCCCCAATCTCACATACTCCAACCCCTTGCTGCCCTCTGCTGGCACAGGTGTGCCTTGAGCCAAGCTTGGGTGAGAGTGGTTCACGGAGGTTCGTGGGGGGCTGGCAGAGGTGTTTGTAGGGCAACAGAGCCAATATATTCACTATGATATGATGCCCAGATATATTCACAAGGTTCACACCACCAATTGGAAACTCTTACATTATATTCCTAAAATGTAAGCATTTCTCAAAAAAGAGAGTGCTTAGTTGAATCTTGACATTTTGTCAATTGCTTAGCAGCTATGCAAATTAGTATAAACAGATTTAGAAAGCATTTTGGCAGTCAGTTGTAGAAATTAAGGATGATTTTGATATGAAACACTACATTATGATCCAAGAAGACAGACTTGGTTGGCACATTAAGCTGAAAAAATGATGTCATATTAATGCTAAGAATGGAAAACATGTTGGAGAACTTGCCATCACATGCTCCTGACAAGCTGTGACCAGTTCTGATCTCATATCAGCAGACAGTAGTGACCTCGTGACTAAATTAAGCAAGTGCATGTAGAAGTACACTTAGTAGAAACCACAAAAAGAATATGCAGGAGTTAAAAGTTAATGAGTGTTCAGAAAAATCCAGTCTTAGAAGAGACACAAATCTTATTCATAGTATCCTCTGAGTGGTCACCTTGCAGAACTCCCGAGAAGGGGAGCTTATGGCCTTCTGGAAGTTGCTGGGTAGAACTGACTCTCAGAAAGGACTCAATATTTTAGCAGCTGATGTAACCTCAAACACTCACTTCCAATATCCCACTTAATGATGTATTTTTGCAAGTTTTTGTCTGACACAGACCTTACCTCCCAACTCTCCCCTCCTCTTGGTGTGCCCACTCCCCACCCGCAACTAGCTATCACAGTACCTCTTTCTGATCCTCCCCTAAGTGTCACATCTGCTCTACCACTCATTTTTCTCATTCCCAAATCTGCCAGTAAGGATAGGAGGTGAAGCGGGGTTTTGTGACTCTAATGTTCTCAATGAATGTGCCCTGTCACTGGGGTTCTGCATTACCCCTTACAGGTGTGACATCTAATCTTGAACAATGCATTTTGTCTGTTAACTGAGATGGTAATGTCTGTGAGATAAAGCATAGTGTTTAGAAAAACATGCTAGGTGGTCTGAAGTAGGGTACAAACTGCTGCAAGAAGTAAGATATAAGGCCAGAAGTCAAGAACAGAGCAAATGGGAGGTGACATGCTTACTGGGACATGCAAGAAATTTACTTCCTAAGAATGTAACAGCATAGTCAAAGTTATAAAGAGGCCTACTAAAAACAGGAGCAAAGGAGGGAGACCAAGAGAATAGTGAAATAACTGTGAATGCAAAGTAACCCCTCACAGTACGTTACCACCACCACAGAAAAGCAGGGAGTTACTATTTTAGCATGGTAATCTGGGGGGCCTGTGGTCAAGCATTCAGTTTCCACCAAGGACCAGGAGCAGGCTAAGAACTGTCTCTCAAAGGAGGAGAAGTTGTCTGAAGATGATGTCAGGACCTAGCTCCAAAATCCCAAGGGCCTCCATCGCAATGGAGCCTATCAAAGCCCTAATCAGCATCCCTTTCTGCCACAGACATCTGAAATACCATTGGGTCTTATGAGTCATATGGTCCAACTGGCAGAGCAGTGTGCACAGCAGTCTGGGTCTGTTGCAAAACCTTCTCCTTTTCTGGGCCCCACTCAAAACTAGCCACTTTTTGAGTCACATAACAGGCAAGCCAGAAAAAAAACAACAACACACATTTAGATAATGAAGAATGCACTGCCTCCAAAATCCAAATAGGACCACTAGGCATTGTGCCTCCTTCTTGGGCTGGATGAAGCACATATCCTTCACTTTAGAGAAGGGCTATATTGGCATGCCCCACATTGCTGAAATTTCACTGAGGTAAGAGGCCCTAGAATTTTAGTTGGCTTTAATCCCCATCCACTGACATACAAATGCTTCACCAACAAGTTCACACTTGGTCCAGTCAACGTAATATCATCAAAGTAATTGACCAGTGTGATATCTTGTTCAAGATGTCTGTGAACTAAGTTATGACACAGGGGTAGAAAGTTAACATATCCCTGAGGCAAGTCAGTGAAAGTGTATTGCTGGCCTTGTTAAGCAAAATAAATTACTTCTTGTGGGCCTTTATGATGAAGGATGGAGAAAAAGGCATTTCCTAGTCATTAGCTGCCTGCCAGGTAAGTTATTCAAGCAAGGTGTTTTAGTCACCTTATTCACCACTGTAGACCTGACCAGAGGAGGAAAGTTTGTTTAAGGGCTCATGGTTTCAGAGGTCTCAGTCCATAGACAGTAGGCTCCATTCCTTGGGGCTTGAGGTGAGTCTGAACATCATGGCAGAAGAGTGTGGCAGAGGGAGGCAGCTCACATAGTGATCAGAAAGCAGAAAGAGAAACTTCACTTTCCAGATACAAATATAAACCCAAAGCTGTGGTCAGTTCCCACCTCATCAAGCCACACCCTACCACTTCAGTTACCAGTTAATCCCTACCAGAGGATTAATTCACTGATTGGGTTAAGATTCTCACAACCCAATCATTTCTCTTCTGAACCTTCCTGCATTGTCTCACACAGGAGCTTTTGAAGGACACCACATCTAAACCATAACACAAGGAGACTACAGCTGGTATAGTAATTGCAATTGGAGTCACTACCTGATTAAGCTTATGATAATCAATCATCATTCTCCAAAATCCATCGATCTTCTGCACAGACCAAACAGGAGAGTTAATGGGCATGTGGTAAGAAATATCAACGCTGCATCTTTCTAGTTCTAGATTGTGCCACTAATTTCTGTAATTTCTCCAGGGACATACTTTACTTATAATTTACTATTTTTCAGATAAAGGCAGCTCTAATAACTCTCTTTTGGCCTTTTCCACCTTAATAGCTCTCACTCCACAGGGTAGGAAACCAATGTGGAAGTTCTTCCAAGTGCTGAGTATATGTATACCAAATATACATTCTGAGACTGGGGAAAGAGACATAGGATGGATTCAGGAACATACTGGACCCACTGTGAGTGGACCTTGGCTAAAATTCCATTGACCTGCTGATTACCATAAGACTCTACTTTGATCTCCTAGAATTATTTCCTTTTTACCAATGTACAGTTAAAGACCATAGGCCATTTTGGGAAAGGATGGGAGAAAGATCAACATTAAAATTTTTGGGTTCTTCCTCAAGGGGTTTTGGATCCATAAACTAGCTCAAGTCTGGGATCAGTTTGAGGGTTTGTGATTCTCTATTCTTATGATTCAAGGTAAACTTTTGTATATTTACCTTGGAATTTTTCTGCTTATCTAAGTTGAGTAGGAATTTAGTAGGTCTCCCATCTTTATAACTTTTGGGACCACCATGATTAATCAGTCCCATAAATCTACATGAGTCAGACCATTCTGTTCATTGCTTCTCCTCTGTCATCCACTATGGTGAGTCTCTCACTTTGCCTTTAGAAGTTGAATGCCACCACTTGGCCCCTGACATTCCTGGATCCAGTTATAACTGATCACATTTAAGTTTTTCAATTGAGTGACTGTGGTTCCCACCGTAAGGTCTGGCATACAGAGAAGAACAATGATAGAGCTCTTCCAGGTTGCTGGTGCTCCCCTCACAAATCTGTTTATTAAAGTGGTGGTGAAGGGCACACCTTCTAGACCCTTCCCATGTGGACATGAAGGTCTTACATGGCAACCCTACTTCAGCATTCCAATCTCTCTATTCTCAGTCATAGTAGGCCATCTTTTGATTCACCTTTTGACAATGAGCCAAATAAACTATAGGTACCTTTAACATTGTGAGTTGCTACATTAAACCCAGAATGTCTGCTTCATGGGTCCAGATCAATAAATTCAATCCTGGTCTACTTTTATGTCCTTTCATCATTATTTCACATCCTTAAAATCCTTTCCCATACATGTTCCCATGAATTCTGCTTGTATAAATTAGAAAACTCAAGAAGTTCCTTCAGAGAATAGCACTTTGTGGGCAACACTATGCACTTCACCTCTAGGGGACCTGCCAACACTTGAGTCTGGTTATGAGTCTACAGGTAAAAGGTGGGTGGTGAGGTTGAGTCCTCAGGCGTATCAGCATTGTCTTGCATTGTGTCATGAAAGGTCATTACTGTTTCCATAGACATTGTAAGATTAGTTCTCTCAGGGAGAAGTGGAGAGGCCAACCCCACAAGGGGTAGTGGTGGGGATGCTCCTGCCACTGAGATGAGGAGGCCACTTCTTCTGGCAAAAATAAAACCATCAGAGTGCAGGGGTTCAGTGTCTCTAGCATTATTAAGGCCCTCCCACATATCTCTGTCTTAATTTACAGAATCCCATTGTTTTTCAATCAATCAGTGCCCTCAGCCCTTGAGGCTGAGAGTGAACTTGTGTCATAATTCAGCCAATTGTAGGAAAAGGACTTTTGTCTGGTTTTAGGCAACTTTAACCCTAAGAGAAGAAGATTCTCCTTCAGGGTGTATGTGTATGTGAGTGTGTGTGTGTGTGTGTGTGCATGTGTGTGTGTGTGTGTGTGTGTGATTATAAAAGAGGATTTATCAGACTGGTTTATAGGATCAAAAGCTGCATAGCCCCACAAAGGCTGTTTACACACTGGAGAGCCAGAGGAATCAGTAGCTCCTCAACCCAAGAACCTGATGCCTCAGGAATAGGGGGGGCCAATAATGTGGGCAAAGTCCCAAGACCAAAGACCTGGAAGCTCCCTGGAGAATTGCTGGTGGGATTACATTATGTCCACAGGCCTTGGGGGCAGTGACAGATGCACTGGCTCCAGAATATAGCTTGCATCCACTGAGGCTTCCTCATGTCTTTCACTTTATGTTCCATCTGGGCCTGCAGCTTATTGGATAGTGCTCCTTACATTCAGGGTGGGTTTCCCCTTTCATTTGCTGTCTCATGCCAATCATCTTTGAAAACATCCTCACAGATACAGCCAGAAGTCTCTTTTTAAAAATTTGTTCTAATTAGTAAAACATGACAGTAGAATGTATTTCAATTCATTGTACATATATGGAGCATAACTTTTCATTTCTCTGTACATGATGTACAGTCACACCATTCATGCAATCATACACGTGCCTAGGATAATGATATCCATCTCATTCCACCATCTTCACTACTCCCATGCGCCCTCCCCTCTTCTCACTCCCTTTTGCCCTATCCAAAGTTTCTCCATTCTTCCCATGCCCTCAAACCCCCATTATGGATCAGTATCCACTTATCAGAGAAAACATTTGGTCTTTGATTTTTGTGACTGGCTTACTTCGCTTAGCATGATATTCTCCAACTCCATCCATTTACCTGTAAATGCCATAATTTTATTTTCTTTTAATGCTGAGTAACATTCCATTGTGTATGTATACCACAGTTTCTTTCCATTCATCTGTTGAAGGGCATCAAGGTTGGTTCCATAGTTTAGCTATTGTGAACTGAGCTGCTATAAACATTGTTGTGGCTGTGTCACTGTAGTATGCTGATTTTAAGTCTTTTGGGTATAGACCAAGGAATGGGATAGCTGGGTCAAATGGTGGATCCATTCCAAGTTTTATAAGGAATCTTCATACTGGTTTCCATACTGGCTGCACCAATTTGCAGTCCCACCAGCAATGTATGAGTATACCTTTTCCCTCCACATCCTTGACAACACTTAACTATTGCTTGTATTCTTGATAGTTGTCATTCTGACTGGGGTGAGATAAAATCTTAGAGTTGTTTTGATTTGCATTTCTCTAATTGCTAGCAATGTTGAACATTTTTTCATATGTTTGTTGTTGATCAATTGTATTTCTGAAGTCTGTTATGTTCCTTGGTCCATTTATTGATTGGGTTATTTGTTGTTTGGTGTTAAGTTTTTTGAGTTCTTTGTATATCCTGGAGATTAGTGCTCTCTCTGGTGTGTGTAAGGAAAAGATTTTTCTCCCACTCTTTAGGCTTTCTCTTCACACTATTGATTTTTTCCTTTGCTGAGAAGAAGTTTTTAGTTTAAATTCATTCCATTTATTGATTCTTGATTTTATTTCTTGCACTTTAGGAATCTTGTTAAGGGAGTCAGGACCTAATCCAATATTATGGGAGGTCATCCTTGCACTTGATTTGAGTTACCTCCCTGGCTGGGCGAGAGGCGCTTAGGCACATCTTGTGTCCAGAGCTTTCCCCACCCTTCTCAGGTCCGAGGGCTTGTCCATGTGGATGCGTGTCTTGCCAATACCCTGAAGACCCAATCATCGCCCATGACCTTGGGACACTGCCCCCCTTAATCTTCATTGGATGGGATTTTCCCCAGAATTTTTTGTTCCCCCATAAAAGTCCACTCCCTGGCGTGTTCTCTCTCTCTCGCTAGCCTCTTCAGTAAACCTCGATACCATAATAGGTGGCTGGAGGCTGGAGCTAGGAGAAGCCGTCCTGGAGCTGGTTTAAAGGTAATTAGAATCTTGTCTCTTTAATTCAAAACTCCCTAGAGATTTCTCAACGTTTTGAACCTTCATTCATGAAGCCGGTGCTGATTGCGGGCTAAACAACATGATAAAGAATTGGACCTACTTTTTCTTCTATTAGGTGCAGGGTCTCTGACCTAATTCCTTGGTTCCTGATCCACTTTGAGTTGAGTTTTGTGCATGGTGAGAGTTAGAGATTTAATTTTGTTTTGCTGCATATGAATTTCCAGTTTCTCCAGCACCATTTGTTGAAGAGGCTATCTTTTTTTCCAATGTATGATTTTGGCACCTTTCTCTAGTATGAGTTAAGTGTATTTATGTGGGTTTGCATCTGTGTTTTCTATTCTATACCATTGGTCTACAAGTCTACTTTGGTGCCAATACCATGCCATTTTTGTAACTATAGTTCTGTAGTATAATTTAAATTCTGGTATTGTGATACCTCTTGTTTCACTCTTCTGACTAAGGATTGCTTTGGCTATTGTGGGTCTTATTCTCCAAAATAAATTTTATGTTTTCTTTTTCTATTTATATGAGAAATATTGTTGGGATTTTAATTGGAATTGCATTAAATCTGTAAAACACTTTTGGAAGTATGGCCATTTTGACAATATTAAGTCTTCCTATCCAAGAACATGGGAGATCTTTCCATCTTCTAAGGTCTTCTAATTTCTTTCTTAGTGTTCAGTAGTTTTCATTGTAGAGGCCTTTCACCTCTTTTGCTAGATTGATGCCCAAATGTTTTATTTTCTTTGAGGCTACTGTGAATGGGGGTTTTGCTAATTTCTCTTCATTTGATTCATCACTGATGTATAGGGGTGCAATTAATTTATAGGTGTTAATTTTATATCCTGCTACTTTGCTGAATTTATTTATAAGTTTTAGAAATATTGAAGTATTTTGGGTCTTCTAAATATAGAATCATGTCATTAGCAAATAGGGATAGTTTGAGTTCTTCTTTTTCTATTTGTATTCATTTAATTTCTTTCTTTTCTGTCTAATTGCTCTGGCTAGAGTTTCCAGAACCATGTTGAATAGAAGTGGTGAAAGAGGGCATCCCTGTCTTGTTCCAGTTTTCAGAGGGAATGCTTTCAGTTTTTCTCCATTTAGAATGATTCTGGCCTTGGATTTAGCTTTTACCATGTTGAGATATGTTCCTCCTATCCCGAGTTTTTCTAGTGTTCTGAACGTGAAGGGGTGCTGTATTTTGTCAAATGCTTTTTCTGCATATATTGAGATATTATATCATTCTTATTTTTAAGTCTATTGATGTGATGGATTACATTTACTGATTTCTGTGTATTGAACCAACCTTGCATTCTTGGAATGAACCCCACTTGATCATGGTGCAATATCTTTTTAATATGTTTCTGTATGTGATTTGCCAGTATTTTATTATGAATTTTTGCATCTATATTCATCAGGGATATTGGTCTGAAGTTTTCTTTCCTTGATGTGTCTTTGCCTTGTTTTGGTGTCAGGAGGACACTAGCTTCCTAGAATTTGTTTGGAAGGGTTCCCTCCTTTTCTATTTCATGGAATCATTTTAAGAGGGTTGGTGTTAGTTCTTCTGTGAAGGTCTGGTAGAACTCAGCTGAGAATCCATCTGGTCCTGGGCTTTTCTTTCTTGGTAAGCTTTTGATGGTTTCTTCAATTTCATTGCTTGAAATTGATCTTTTTAAAATTTCTATGTCTTCCTGATTCAATTTGAGTCTGTCATATGTTTCTAGAAATTTGTCTATGTCTTCAAGATTTTCTATTTTATTAGAGTATAAATTTTCAAAATAGGTTCTGTTGGTCATCTGTATATAGGTAGTGTCTATTGTGATATTTCTTTTTCATTGCGAATTTCAGTAATTTGCATTTTCTCTCTTTCTCTTCATAAGAGTGGCTAAGCATGTTGCAACATATGACTAAATTAGTCAGGGTCACTCTAGGTAAATTGGGTTGGCACTGAATAGAGAAAACACAGAGACAGAGAAAATACCTTTTTCTTGGGGTTCACTGATGGCTCCTTGGCCCCAGCTCACACAAGGGAAGCAAGAGAGGTGACAAAAGAGAGTGAGAGCAACCTGAAGCCCTATTTATTGAGGGGAAGACACTTAAGAAAATTACACCCAAATGTGGCAAGGGACTGGTGTTTCAGTCTCATTGGGTGATGCCCACTCCCAGAGCTTCAATCTCCTGCCGAGTGAAGGTGAGGTCCACCTGCTCTCATGCTGCAAGTGGAAGCCAGTCCCACACCTCCGTCCCTTAAGTCTAAGGGTCCATGCATGCTTACTCCTATGTGGCAGCTCCTGACATAAGCGTTTATCAATTTTATTGATTCTTTTCAAGGAACCAACTTTTTGTTTTGTTGATTTTTTGGATTGCTTCTTTTGTTTCAATTTCATTGACTTCAGCTTGATTTTAATTATATTCTGTCTTCTACTGCTTTTGGTGTTGATTTGTTCTTCTTTTTCTAGGCCTTTGAGATGTAGTCTTAGTTTATTTATTTGTTGACTTTCTATTTTTTTAATGAATGAGCTCAATGCAATGAACTTTCCTCTTAGACTGTCTTCATAGCATCCCGCAGATTTTGATATGTTGTATTTCTATTCTCATTTACCTCTAAGTATTTTTTTTTAAATTTCATCCCTGATTTTTTCTGCTATCCATTTGCCATTCAATAGCATATAATTTAGTCTTCAGGTGATAGAGTGGCTTCTATTTTTTATTGTATCATTGATTTCTAATTTTATTCCTTACAATCTGATAGGATGCAAGATATTGTTTATTTATTTATTTTTATTTATTTTCTAAGACTTGCTTTATGGATAAGATATGGTCTATTTTAGAGAAGGCTCCATGTGCTGCTGAGAAGAAAGTGTATTCAGTAATTTCAAAATCTCTGTCTCTTTATTGAAGTAATTTTTTACTTCCTCTTTTTTCTCTTTGATTTCACTTCCTATACTACCCTTTACTTAACAGATCAGTCTGATTCTGTGCATTCTACACTCCTTCTCTGATATTACTTCCACTGTAGTGTCAATGGATTCTGTTATTGGAGTACCTTGGTTGTTTGGGGTGATTTGCTCTCTTGCCTTGTAGGGCATGATGTAACATGGGGCATGTTGCATCAGAAAAGAGGAAACTTAACTTGCTGGCTGCTACCCGCTTCCCAGTCCTGGGGCCACATATGGCTAAGAGAGCACCTAGCGATTAGCCAGAGGCATTGCCGTGGGTTATGATGAAGAATCGGACCACCTCTAGGATAGGCTCAGAACCCCTCTGCCCTCACATACATTACTGCCTGTAGGATGGGTGTAGATGTAAATTCTCCCCATCCTGCTGACCTTCATCCTGATTGACTCCTGTACATTATATTAGCTGTGTATGTTTTCTCATTAAACGAGATCCTGCTTTGACAGTTCTCCCTGGCACGTCTGATTGTCCTCCATGGAGGGAGGGCTGGGTGTGGGCGGCCAGTAGACCTTTACCTTTCTTGGCCTGTCCTGGTTGGGGCATGCTCCCCCAATCTCTCCCACAGGTCTGGAGGGAAGGGGGGAGGCTAAAAACCCCGACATCTGGGGCCCCACGCGGGACACGAAGAACTCAGTTTATCAAGAGTGAGAGTATCAAGCGAGTTTTCCGAGGTAAGGGTATCCCTGGAAAGATGGGGCAATCTCACACTAGGCATAACGACCCAGCTCTTATGCTCAAAAGCCGAGGTTTAGAGATCTTGGATGTGCAGGCCAAAAAGGTCTGGGAAACCTTGACACTTGTGGGGTCCTGGTAGATGGCTGAGGGGGAGGAGGAGGGAGAGGTTTGCCAGAGGGAGCCAGGCCGGCCTGTGGGAGCCCCAGGTGTTTCTTCTCGTGGCCTGCTGCAGGCCCCACTGGCGCCTGGGCGTCTGCATCCCCCGTTCTGTCCCACTCCACCCCTGGGCTTTGGGCCACCTGGGACCGCACAGAACAGTTGGTGAGGAAGAGGGAAGTTAACCTGGGAGAGGACCCCCCTCTGAGGGACTGCCTGTTTCTCTCCTGGCCCCTCAAGACCCTTTTATCTGCCCTCAAAACACCTACTCCTCCTACCACCAATCCTTGGCCTGGTCCCCTAAATTCCACACTAACTTCCCCTGTCCCGGAACACTTGGTAGACAGGATGGGGAATGGCCTCCGCCATATTGTCATCCCTCCCCCTCACAGAAATTCTCCGCCCTCTTACAAAAAAAACCAAACAAACAAACAAAAAAAACACCTCAAAAAAAGACCATCTCAGAGGATGGGCCTAATTCGCCCTGGGCTGAAACCATCTTCCAGGGTCTGGAAAGATCAAAGTCCACCTAAGATGCCCTGCCCCCAGTGTAAAAAGGGATTTCATTTGGCAAAAGGATTGTAAGTCCAAATTTGATATTGGGGGGAAGCCTTTAAACTAGTAATGGGGTGCCCTCCAGCCCCGTCACCCAAAGGAGGCGCCCCGCCTAGACACCGGCCTAGGGCCCACTGGCCCAGGCCAGGGCGAGCTGAGCCAGGCCTGGTGGGTGCTGTGTGGGCGGGGCCAAGCAGAGTCCCAGGCTGCCACTGCTTGAGCCAGAGCTCTGACCTGCCCGCCCGACCTGGAGGCACAGTCTCATAGGCTCTTGCTCCCTGTGCGGCCCAGTGGCAGCTTGGTGGCAGCTCGAGTCCGGGACACTCCCCCAAGGCCATCTGAGGTTGCCGGGGGATGGCGATAGGGAGAGAGAATGGCCTTCCAGCGCCACCTGAGAAAAACAGTTTCCTTCAAATTGGCAAAATAATAAAATGAAAAATTTGAACATTTTAGCTTTGGGTGGAAGCATAAAAATTTGCCAGCAAGGAGCCAGTGGGGACTCAGAGGGCTACCAAGGATCTTGCCACCTTCCTCGAGAGGGTGGAAAAGAGCCTCCAAAGGAAATTCCCCCCAGGGGCCCCTTCAGGATTGGCCCTGCTTTATACAAAAAAAAGGGGGGGGACTACACGCCATTCTCATGCCTCCTGAGCTTTATAAATGCAGGGTTAGCAACATCTCAAATCCATAGCAGCTGATATCCAGAACTCCAATTTAGCTATCCTTACATCTGACATCCTTACATCTTACATCCTTACATCTGACAATGGTTCTCCCACACCTGGAGGCTAATGGATAGATATGTTAATGAGCACCATTGAGGCCTATTTCAAATGTAAAAATACCCTGAGGCTTACTTGTGGGAATACCTTCAAACCCATATGTAAGTTACAGGAAGAAGGATGGGATATCAGAAGCAGAGTCAAACCCAGGTGGTAGCCAGGATGCTTTTTTCAATATCTATTTTAAGTAGATTTTGCCTTATGCTCTTCCCAAAACCACACATATACTCCAAAGCTGGCACACCAAAATGGTTTTTCTGCTATTATGCCCTCTCCCACATCATGGAGTTCTGTTTTATTTTTTGAGCTCATGATTTTGATCCTACAGACCTAGGTTAATGTTTTTCTGATCAGTTCTATTTTTTGATCAACTGTGGAGTTTTTAAACATTGCAATGGAGATTTCACCTGTGAAAAGCTACAAGGCCTTTACTATTGTGTTATATGTGCACACTTGTGTTATGCGTTGAATGTCTGTATGTGTGTATGTCCATATGTCATACCCATGATAGAAAATTGGCAGATATATGAGGAGCACTCATGAAAAATTTTAAAAAATGGATGCAAATATCTTTTATTCATGTGATTTAAACAGTTCAATTTAAATTGGGTAAACAGATGAAAGTAAAGATGTATTTAAAATTAAGCTTACAAGTTTTTCTAGGTGTTCAAAAAAAACTAATAAAATGTTGAGGTCTATGAAATAATCTACCTAAATTCAGAAATTTACAAAGATTGTTTCAAAATGTGAACAAAAAATGGAGGTTAACAGATGGAAAGAAGAAATTAGAAGATTCTAGATATAAAACTCATATTTAATAGAAGAAAAAAAAGTGTTCCTAAATAAAGAAAATCTTTATGTGATAAATAAGAGTTTAAGTAAGTGATAAAGAAGGTCTATGTAAGTTTGTTCTTACAATCAGTCATATGTTAAAAGGACAAAGATTTCTTAAAACATTAGTTTACCCATAACATTGTGTTTTATTAAGTTTTGTTTCTTGTTTCTAGAGCAAGTAATCTTTAAAAAAAAATTAAACAGCTGGTTAAACAAGAACTGTTATTTTAGAGAATTGTGCTGTGTTATTTCTTTAAAAGCTAAATTTGGTTAATATAAAAACATCAGTGTAATTGTGGTGCTATTAATGTGTTCATATCTTCCAGGTATACAAGTCTGTAAGGTAGAAGCTTTAAAAGAGCATTATATCAAGCGGGTGTTCTAAAGTTGTACGGTAATTTTAGGCTTAAGAGAAAAACATATTGGAGATTTATTTATATCATTGATGTTCTATAACTGGACCTGTTATCAATAGGATGTGTAAAGTTTTATGTTACTTTTTACACTGAGGTATGATTTTTTAATTGTAAAAATGAAAAGACCATTCTGGACACTTTGCCTGGTTGTGACCAGACTCCTCATTGTCTCCCTCATGGCATTCATCGTGGCCACGGGGATGGGAACTGGACTTGCTGGCCTCTATACTTCTTTACAGATGTGCAATAAGCTTTCTCAGCAGATGATAGATGGTATGCACCACGTGCCAACACTATCTTAGACCTGCAATCTCAACTCATTCCTTGGCTACAGTAGTACTCCAAAACCATCGTGGCCTGGACCTACTTACCGCTTGAGAAGGGGAACTATGCCTGCTCCTACAGGAGGAGTGCTGCTTCTATGCCAATCGCTCTGGTATCATCCAAGACGAGATCAAGAGACTACAAGAAGACCTTAAAACCTGTTGGAATGAACTGCAATCTAGCTTTCTATGGACTGGGCTAAAATGGTGGGTGGCTCCCTTATCGAGCCAGAGCTGTTCAACTGATGGTTGTCTGGCAGCAACAAGATACTGACAAGATATCTTACAAGATACTGACTGGGAACCCTATGAGGTTGGTCATGGCCCCTACCAGGACATACAGGTGTAAGCCGGGAGCAGAAAGGTTTCCTTCATAGGTGATAGACATTTCCCGTCCTTAAAGCTTCCCATTGGGTCTGCCAACCCTGCCTGAAGAGCCAGAGTGGTAGTCAATGACAGGTAAGATCCCCAGAGGGGGACAACCTAAGACAGGCACACTCTCGAGTAAGGCAAACACCTGCTAATAAAACAAAACGAGGGAGATGTAGGGCATGATGTAACGTGGGGCATGTTGCATCAGAAAAGAGGAAACTTAACTTGCTGGCTGCTACCCGCTTCCCAGTCCTGGAGCCACATGTGGCTAAGAGAGCACCTAGCGATTAGCCAGAGGCATTGCCGTGGGTTGCGATGAAGAATCAGACCACCTCTAGGATAGGCTCAGAACTCCTCTGCCCTCACATACATTATTGCCTGTAGGGTGGGTGTAGATGTAAATTCTCCCCATCCTGCTGACCTTTATCCTGATTGACTCCTGTACATTATATTAGCTGTGTATGTTTTCTCATTAAACGAGATCCTGCTTTGACAGTTCTCCCTGGCGCATCTGATTGTCCTCCAGGGAGGGAGGGCTAGGTGTGGGCAGGCGGCGAGTCGACCTTTACCTTTCTTGGCCTGTCCTGGTTCGGGGCGTGCTCCCCCAATCTCTCCTGCAGGTCAGGAGGGAAGGTGGGGGCGGGCTAAAAAACCCCAACATTGCCTTTTTCATTTTAGCTTTTTGAAATTTATTTTTATTTTTTATTCTAATTTGTTATGACAGCAGAATGCATTACAATTTATATTATACATATAGCACAATTTTTCATATTTCTGCTTGTACACAAAGTAGAGTCACACCATTCATGTCTTTATACTTTTACTTAGGGTAATAATGTCCATCTCATTCCACTGTGTTCCCTTGCATTTTCATGTTGCTTGTGTGTCTAGCCATCTGACAGTATGGATCTGAGCAGTAGAGTTTATCCCCTGTGGATCTACAGTGTTCTTGAAGGTTTCCAGTACTTCACTGTTTAGGGGAGTCAAGTATTAAAACAACCAATGCAAACAATATACAGCATTAAAACAAATAGTTCCTACTATGACATCTACAATGTTAATTATCACAATAAACAGCAATGATATGATCAGTTATTGCCTACAATAAAAACAGCACATTTGCAAAAAAAAATTTACAATTTCCAATGGTGGACAGGGAGATAACAGAAGTGGTATAAGATTAGATAATTACAAGGGAGAAGGAGATAAGATAGAAATAAAACATTAAAGGAGGAGTGAAAGAGAGAACAATAAAGATTGGCTGTTAGCAGAAGAAAAGAGAGAAAGACAATCAAGGGAAACAGGTAAAATAAAAATATATATAAAGTAAAATTTTTTAATAATTAAAAATAAAAATAAAAGATACAAAACAAAACTAAAATATAATAATCAAACATCCTAGTCCACAAAAACAATAACTCATTTCAAAGATGCTAGAAATGAGAAAAGCAAACCAAATATGTGTACGTATAAATGTCCATATACCATTAAGGTCACAATTAAATAGAGAAAAGAAAAAAAAAACTCAATGCAAAGTTAAAAAATTCATTCTGTTGGATTTCAAAAGATTCTCAGCTTCTCTTCTCAGTTTCAGGTAGGGTCGTCTGGAATATGATGCTGCACCTTCTGGATTGCTGCAGTGAGGGAGGTCACCCCATAGGTGAAATTCCTGGAGGCAGGATTTAGGCTTAGGTGAACTCCAGGCCCTTCACTGAATGCCAATTGGCCTGGAAATTTTAAATCATTGCACATCCAGGGCCCAGTAATTACCAGTCCACTCTGGAAGACAGGTCCCCAGGGATTTCCCCTGGGTTCCACTTGTGTGGTGGAGGAGCCAGTACTTAGTCCCCTATGTCACCTGTGGCACCCACATTTCCTGGTGTTGGGTTTAGTCTCAAAACTCACTCTCTCCGGCTGTCATCCTTCTGAATCACTGGCCATTCCTTCAAGCAGCCAGGTTGGAGGGGGAGGGGCAGAGTGCAGCAGGTTTTCACAACCAGTTGTCCCCAGTTTAAACCTCTCTCCACATTTGATTTTCTGCAGGTCATGTAAGAATACCCTATGTCCTGCCGTGTGTTTCCTGGGCCTGTATTTCAGGCCAATCTCGGGTTTGCCAAGAGTCAGCTCTTTTAGGTGCCGAACCCCATGAAGTGGCTGCAAAATTGTTCCTTCCCTTGTCCTTTCCTATGGCCTGGGGAGATGGCTGGTTCTTTCCTTCCAAGGATATTGTGCAGCACATCTTTCAGTTTAATCAAGCAATGTCCTTGATTTCTAAACACTCCATGACCACACACACCTCCGGGATCCTAGAAATGTGGGTTCCTTTAATTCTTCTATCCTTCCACTTTGCTCACAGAGGGGCTGCTCTGGGTGGTGCTTCTACCCAGCTGTGGCAGTGGCTATGCTGCTGGGAATTTCTTCTTTATTTTATGATATCCAACATCCTGTGTCCTCTTGTCCTCTTCAGGTTGTTTTGAATGTTCAGTTTTAGATTCCAGCAAATTTCCCCTCTTTTAAAACACCTAACATTTAATCGAGGGCCAGTACTGAGGTCATCCCATCCTACCTGTATGATAACACAGTGGGAATGATTGGGTCACTTGGCCCCCTCTTGAACAAGGCCCTGAAGATGGGATCCAGGAGGGTTATCCACTACCCTAGAAGAGGCATCCTCAGAGGCCTGCCAGCCCCATCCTTCCCTAAGGAGAATACCCACCACCAAGGCTGTCAGACACCAGATATGGATATTGGGTGTCTTCGTCACCCATACAATCCCCCACACAAAAAAGAATATTTTCTTCCTTAGGAGTTTCAGGTAGAGGATGCAAATTGAGCAGTCCATATGGGTAAGGTAAGAAGGAGCAGGACGAAAAGCCTCCTCCCTGCCCTTTACTCCTCTGGCTATTTTAAAGGGTTACCTGAAGGGTGTTGGGGGATGGCATATTCCTCTGTCAGGATTCCTAAGCCCTAACAGTCCAAGCACAGAAGTGGTGGAAATTGAATAGTTCAGAGCAATAGACAGTCTTTTGGAATCTCCTGAAGTGCTTTACTCCCTATGTAAAAAGATCCTGTGTTAATTCAGGAATACTCAGAGGTGAAGTAACTGGATTGTGAGCACTGTAACTAATCGTCCATCCTAATTGGTATGAACTGACTGGGCAATAACTGTATGCCGCAGTCTGGCTGGGCACAATTCAGGAGCCACTTGTCAAAAGAAACGAACTTTATTTTTAGAATCACACACGCCAAATAAAACAGCTCTTCGGGAAAACCTTCAGAGCCCAACTGCCACCACCGGCTTCCCACAAGCCTCTCAACCTCCCCCACTCCTCCTGCTCTTGAGGCTGATTGGCTGGGTCACATGGGCAGAGCCAAAAAAAGTCACCCAATGAGCAGCTCCGTGGTCTGAAAGGGTGGGGAAACAGCCCAATGAGCATCACCTCACAGGAGCCAATCAGTTGGCAGCTAGAAGTTTGCTGGGGCCGCTATGAGCCAATCATCAGCTGGCAGCTGGAAGTTTGCTGGCAGCTGGAAGTTTTTGCTGGCAGCTGGAAGTTTGCTGGGGCCCCTTCAGCTGTGGCTCTCAACATCTCCCCCTCTCTGTTTAAACAACAAGCATGTGGCTTAGGGACCGTGCCTGCCTTAGGTTGTCCAATAGTACATATGGTCCTTACCCGTTATCAGATGAGCTGACCTCAAGGCATCAGCCTCCTATCTTAGGTTGGTACCATTGCAATTGGATCTTACCTGTCACTGACTACTGGTCCAGTATACAGCCACACCTGTGGATAGGTCTTTGTACCAGCGGGGGGATGAGGTTCTTTGTCTCACCTCTGTTGGCCCCCAAATTTTAGCTGAACGACCATGACAAGCAGAAGGGAGGAAGATACACCAAGCCAATTGACGGCTCCTTTTGGAAAAATTGTACCACCGATGACACCATCAGCAAAAATACCCCAACACTACCACAAGTCGCTGTACCAACAGATAGTTCACAAAGCATACAAGTCAGTTCACAATGCATACAAGTGATACATAGTCCAGGCAAGTTCTGCAAGCAGTTCAGTGATAGCTCCTTTTGGAAAAATTGTACCACCGATGACACCATCAGCATATGGAATTCTGGCAATAATGGCTAAAGAAAAAATTATGTAACATTCCAGAAGGCACTAAAAGAAAACAATTTTCTTAACAATGTACCTTATCTTGAACAGAATTATTAAATATAATGAAAAGGAAAGGTGAAAGTAAACAAACAGATCTGTTAACCTCCTTTTTTGTTCATATATTAAAACAATCCTCAACAGCTGTTTACACAATTTAAATTAAACCATTTAAATCACATGGAAAAAAAATATTTGGATCCATTTTTTCATGAGCACTCATCATATATGATATATGGACATACGTACATTCAAACATATAACACAAAACACAAGTGTGCACACATAATACATACAACACATAACAATAGTAAAGGCCTTGTAACTTTTTACAGGTGAAATCTCCATTGCAATGTTTAAAAACTCTATAGTCAAAAAATAGAACTGATCAGCAAAACATTAACCTAGGTCTGTATGAGCTCAAAAAACAAAATAGAACTTCATGATGTGGGAAAGGGCAATAATAAAATAGATATTGAAAAAAGCATCCTGGTTCTGTCGCAGATGTAAGAATAGCCAAACTGGAGTTTTGGATATCAGTTGTTATGGATTTGAGCCAAATCATCTTCTTTTTGGTCTGTAGAAATCGCTTTAGTTAATCTTTCTGGAATCCAAATCGGCTGCTGTTTTCCCTGTGGAAACACATAAACAGACCCCCGACTCCAGACAATCACTGGGTCAGGACCTTAGTTAATCTCTCTGGAATCCAAATCGGCTGCTGTTCTCCCTGTGGAAACACACAAATAGACCCCCGACTCCAGACAATGACTGGGTCAGGACCTTTCCATTGTCCTGTTAGAATATCCTTCCAAAGTACCTTGGGCTTATGTACATTTTTTGGACACATATGCCTTTCCGCAGCACTAAGCCCTGATGAATCCAAATTTAAAAAGTTTAGAGTAAAAAGGGTTATTTGAAGTTTATCTTTGGGGAATATATACCCCTTCCCAATTCCTTCTTTTTGCTTTAATAAGTACATTTTAATAGTTTGATGAGCTCTTTCAACTATGCCTTGTCCCTGTGGATTGTATGGGATTCCTGTTATATGAGTAATGCCAAATGTTGAGCAAAATTGTTTAAAAGAGGTAAAAGTATAACCAGGGGCATTATCTGTTTTTAACTGTTTTGGAACACCCACAGTGGCAAAATTTTGTAAGCAATGAGCTATAACATCTTTAGTTTTTTCTCCAGCATGAAGGGAGCCCATCAAAAATCCAGAAGAACTATCAACTGTAACATGCAAATATTTTAATTTTCCAAATTCTGGCAAGTGTGTGATGTCCATCTGCCAAATATGGTTAGGTATCAATCCTCTAGGATTGACTCCAAGAT